TTCTTCAACCTGGTATTTTTTATAGATTTTATTTTCATTCTGTTCGTCTGTTTTTTCCAGTTTAAAAAATATGAGCTCGCTGGAGCCTTTATCCCTTGTTTATTTCTTACACTAGATACCAGCCGATACCTCCCCCGCTCATACGGACTGTGTACAGTTGATCATAGTTCTTGGGCTCCCTGTGGTAAAGAACTACCCGGTCATGGAAAAGTTCATTATATTATTCGTAATTCAGTTTTTTTAAACGTAGTTATACACGCAGTGTATAAGTATTTTCCCAACAAAAAAACACGAGTAGATCCTTGAATTCAACACCACAGCAACGTCATGTTAGGTCACGTGATAACCATGTGATGATCACGCCATCACCCGCGCTGTCGTAGACCCTTTCTCTCGTGGCCTGTCTGCAGCCACACCTCCCTCTTATTATCCGATCATTATTATGTGTCACATTATGTGCAATTCTTTGCAATTGTCTGTAATATTGTTGATGGGTACACAGTCCCTGATAGAGGGATTGTAGTGGGTAGAAGTCATTGAAATAAATATTAACGATCTGTTCACAGTGAATATAATTCTACATCCTCACAATACGTATGTTCCCAGCTTATCTGGTGGCTCATAAAAATGACCTCCGTCGAAGCATGGAACTATAAACCCATGGTCGAAGGCGTCAGGTGGACTATGACCAGTACAACTTAGGAACAAACAAAGACCTATGCATGGATTTGTAATGCTAACTTGTTTATCTTATGAAACGTGATAATGAGAAACATGATTTACATTTGCACATGACACTGTCACGGTGTATGTTTACCATCTTATATGTAGCTTTCTGTCAGGTGTTGGTGGCCAAACAGTGAGTATTGTGGTGATTGTTATCTATATAGTTATTAGTTCTTACCAAGTGTTCGTGTCCAAACAGCCAGTGCCGGGGCGGACATGGAAAGACAGACAAGTCACTTTCATTTTGGCGGCGTTGCTTAATCAAACTCCATATTTTGATAAGTGCATTGGTCGCTAGAAGAACAGACACGGTGACTACGAGTACAGCTAAATTGTTCCATATAATTGCCATGATGCCAGGACGCACGTATTTACACAGCTTCTAGAGGGTGGTGTTTATAAATGCACTACTTAGTGTGATAGGTGACAGTGCGCTGTTATGTGATAAATCTTTTTGACGCGCATGCGCGGATAAGGTCATGAATTAACTTGCGGCATTAGTTACGGTGCTTCCGGAGTTCTACTAGTAATAGTGTTTGCCGAGGGCGCTTGCACAACGCATTAAATAAAAGTGTAGATAATATTATGTACATGACATTTTAAAAAACAAAACATCTGAGATTATCGTTTTTACTAATATTTGGGAACATTGGCCGAAAATGACGTATTAAATAAAGTGTAGACAATCTTATATAAATGTCCTTTTAAAATCTCAGGCGTTACAAGTAGTAATAACTAGAAACCTCGAACAAAAATGACACATTTACTCTAACAGATAAGCTTAGACATATGCATATGAACTTGACATGTAGAATCTGTACAGATACAGAAGATAAACATCTAGCAGGGATCGTTTGACAAGTTATTTTAATAACTATTGTAGTGATAAATACAAACCCGGTGCAGAAAATAATGTATTTAAGGATTAAATGACAGACATATACTATACATGGCGAAACAAAGATCATCATGGTATGTTGTAAGTCATTTTAATAAAATAATATGTATGTACATACTCGGTCAAACTGCATACACGTAACAATGGGAAACAGGTCGAATACATTGTTACATTGTAATTTACTTTGAAAGAATTATTACATTAAAAATACTTCTATTTTTGAAAATAGATTTACATTTTTAATTATTAATTTATTTTATTGATAAAAAAAAGAAACAAACAAGAGACTGTATACAAGTAGTTTAGTTTACACTGTCAGTGTTAGGGTAACGTGTCAGTATGCAACCAGTAAAACAACACAACATTCAACTTCTGTGTTCGAGTACAACTTGAACGTTCAAGTTATTGCCCAGTTCAGCTCTTAACATGATTCGCTATCAAACGTGTTTAAAGGGCTGCAGTCGCTGCGCTACACATTTGCAACATTTGTATTGATAAACATTGATTTTCCCACAATTTAATGCGGTCTTCTAATGGAAATCACAAGTGTGAGGTTTGACCTGATCGCGACTTGTACTAATTACCGCCGATGACTCCTTCGATATTTCAAATCGTCTCAGTTTGTACTCGTTGATCTGCGCAACAGTCAAAGTCGCCATCTTTATTTATATGAGACCCATATATCTCGCGCACGCGTGGCGCGACGACTACTGCCCTTTAAGTATAAATATCTCAGTACTTTCAATTATATTTATTTAGTTAATATAAGTGACAACTACGCATTTCTTTTTCGTATTCGCATTTAGACCATCAGCACATGTACGCAAATAAGCTGCAAGACTGGTAATAAACAACAATTGAAGCTTCCCTCTGAGTTTGAAGGCATACAACAGCGTCAATTTCTATATAATTATGAGACATGATAAGATGAATGGTCTCTTGTATCTAAAACTATAGCCATGTCAGCGGAGGCATTTTCCGGAAGTTAACAACAACAGTCTATAACAAGAGAACTGGTGATGGTTGTGAACCATAACTGCCTCAGCACAAAGACTGTTGTGTAATACAAGGAAATGTAAAGGAAAATGTATTGTAGTGTTACCTCTGTGTAATTTACAATATATCTGCATTAACCTTCACTATTAAGGAAAATATTGGAGTAGAAGCAAGGCTTGGCAAATTTTGCGAAATAGTAGTTAATTAGAATTACCAGACATTGTGGGGTATCGAAATATGGATGATAAACAACAAGTGATATTTCCAGAGATATAGTTGGAATTAAAGCAAAGAAGTGGCCCATTAACCCATGAAACATACTCGCACATATTCATACATGTCTTATTGTGTGGGGCAAAGCTGTCATGTACACATTCATAATAACTGGAAATGGTTTCACAACAGAAAAAAGTGTTATTGCTGTAAATAATTATGAACAATAAAAACTGAAATTTAGAAAAAAATATGAACAAAAAATAATGAAAGTCTGTGATTTTCTGTACAGTTTCCAGGAAATTATTAACCAAACCATAACATTTATAAAAAGCACAGTGCTGAGATTCACTTCGAGTATATCAGAAATATAACGTACAGTTTGGTGACATAAGTCACATTTTGTATAGTTCAATACGCATACAACCACCCATATACTAGTATATTTTGACAATAAACCCCTCTTTCACATTGTGCAAATACAAACAAGACATTAAACCTTCCTGACAGTAACATGTAAGCGTTGTATAAACCCGAATGAAAAGTCTTGAGTCACGGCGAATACTTCTATCGAGTAGCCCATTTAAAAATCTCTTCAACTATCCAAGCCCAATCACTAATGTGCGGGGTCATTAATTAAATAATATTAATTTTATTAACACTTACACATTCCCCGGAGGGATTGGCAATGGCTACAAATGTTTAAGAAAGAATAAAAGGTAAACAAAAATTAAATAAATAATATAAAATAAAAAAACTAAAAAAAACTAAGCTAATACATTACTGTAACAGAGAAAGGAAATATTAAGACTAAATTATTATACAATAAAATAATAGAAAAAAATGCAAAACTTAACTGGGAAAGAAAATTGTCACTGGGGTTGCTGTCTTATTTCAAAACACTTCTTTAGGTACCTTGCTACAGGGAGTGTTAGACCACTGTTGTTTAGCAATGCTATGAATTGTGTCTTTGGTGATAAATTTTGGTTTAACCATTTCAAATAAGATATTTCTATCGGGGGTATAACTTTTGTATGACATCATTAGGTGATACTCATCTTCTACTTGATTCTGATCACAAAGGATATATAATCTATTAGGGGTATTGCGTTGTGTCTGTCAGTCTCAGTTTTCAAGTTATGGTCACTGAGGCGGAATTATTTAAATTTTCGCGCATCTTAATATTTTGCAGGGTAACAAGATAGGTTTCAAAAGCAAAATTGTTTTTTAATTCTCTGTATATTCTTAATTTTTTTTTCATATTTTTTTTTGATTGATTGTCGTTATGTAATTCACTTTTCCAAGTTGATATAAATGATATTTGTATATTTTTATTAATTTGTCCTAATTGCCTTGCAGTTAGAATTTCATTGTTGTCAACCAGGTTAGACTGGTTGACGTTATTCAAAAGGGAGTCTACCATTTACTATTAATTTCTTAATATTAATAATTTACTATTAAACATGAAAACATCGTAATGTTATTACTTCTACACCAGATAACACCAATTAAAACAAGAGAACTGGTGATGGTTGTAAAACCATAACTGCCTCAGCACAAAGACTGTTATGTAATACAAGGAAATGTACTGTAGTGTTACCTCTGTGTAATTTACAATATATCTGCATTACCATTCACTGTGAAGGACAATGTGGAGTTCACTTAAATGACTGGTAAAAGCAAGGCTGTCATGTACACAATCATAATAACTGGAAATGGTTTCAGAACGGAAAGCTGTTTTATTACTGTAAATAATTATGAACAATAAAAACTGAAATTTAGAAAAACTATGAACAATAAATTGAAAACCTGTGATTTGCAATACAGTTTCTAGAAAATTATTACAAGTCTCAGAAGTATTGGGGCAGTCAATTTACAAACTCGCTAGCGAATTGGCTAACTGCTTGAGATGCTGAATTGTTCGAGTTACGAAAACATCGAGTCACAGAAATGACCACGCCCATATTGTAACTCGATGTCCAATCATGATTAACAGTTAACAGAACTTCGAGTTACGGGCAAAATACATTTTGGTTTGTCTTGCACGTCCACATTCAGTAACTTTCAAAATTTAATTTTTTGACTTTAATTAGCAGTTATTCAAACTTCGAGTTAGTAAGTCCTGTGCGCGTCTGTAATGTCGCAACAATGTTACTGTTATTATTGCAACAAAACGCGCCAAAATCGTGTAATGTGAAGATTTGAGAATATGTTTGCCCGATTTCACACGTTGAACCAGTGACACGGAAAACAGTCATGGTTTTTTTAATTTACAATGAATCGTTATATAATAAAAGAGAGAGAAAGTTGGAGATGATGAAAATATGGAATGACGCCGATAAGGAAATATCACGACCCTGGCCTCTGTATGCGGTCTATGATGGTTTGCAGGCTCCAGCAAGACGTCGACAAGAAGTTGTGAAGATGTACAGGTGACTAAGCCCAAAAGTTGAAACAAGCAAGCTTAATGCGTGGTCAAAAATGAAAGACGGTATCTGGATGAACAATAACTACAATCTACGTTGTTTACTGTTAATTAAAGTTCGAGTTACAAAATTTGAAAGTTAAACAAAACAAAAAATATATGTTGCCCGTAACTCAAATTTTGATTAACTATTATTTAAAGTTCGAGTTACTGAATGTGGACGTTCAACAAAAACCAAAATGTATGTTGCCCGTAACTCGAAGTTCTGTTAACTGTTAATTGAACATAGAGTTACAATTTGGGCGTGGTTTTACAAAAGTGGGCGTGGTTTCAAAAATATGGGCGTGGTCATTTCTGTAACTCAATGTTTTCGTAACTCGATGTCCTGATGGCTACCCCCAAAACGACGAATGAGGTTGAATATTATTAGCGGTTGGATGTGAAAATTTATTTTCTCCTTCTTTGTAGGAAACTGTTTCTCAACTTGTCTCTTTATTTAGTTTCTAGTCGTATTCAAGATGGCTACCCCCATATAAACTGCAAATTACTCGTACTAGTTTTACATGTCACACCTAGAATAACAAAGAAAATCATTCAGGGGAATCCAGACATGTACCAGGCTGCGTAAAAGCATGTTATATCACCTAAAGCAATATAGACTCGCCCAGAGTAGACGCGACCACAAATCGGCACCAGCGAGATTCGAAAGCCAACTGTTTAGACAAAACCCAATCAGTTAGCCAATTCTCTAGCGAGTTTGCAAATTGGCTGCCCCAATACTTCTGAGATTTGCTGTAACAGAACCATAACATTTATAAAA